GATATAGCAATTATATGCATAATTATTCTGCAGATGATGCTGATAAGACAGTATAATGATAAGAGTGTCAAATTCTTATACATAATTATTATTATGTGAATATAAGAATATAAGACTATTCTTTAATTATATTATCATTAATGATATGTATTCTTTTATCTTAAATTATATTATTTGGTTTATAGTCAATTTTTTTCTGTTATTACTGTAAATCATTATATACAAGACCCTCATGATAGTAGATCCACCACGTAGTAGACCCGAGTGCGAATCATGGGATCTATATTAATCAAGCTCAATTTTTTCAGATATTTAGACAGCCTATTATAAATTCAAAATATGCATACTCTTTAAATTTTTCTCTTAATGACATGAACTCTTGGCTGCATACTATGTAGACCTGGATCTATTATGGTTTAAAATTGGTGAAATATAAGAGACCCAGGTCTTGTATATTGGTGATTTACGGTATCAAACTAAATTGAATATTTCATGACAATTGTTTTTCACTTATTTCACAATAGTGATATTGTTTATTTTTAACTAAGAAAGTTAGTTTAATATTTTTGTAACAAAATATAAAAGTAAAAAAAACTATTGAAATATTTAGCATAAATTTATAGTAACAATAAATCTGGCCTCTGTATATTTAATTATTTTATTCGTAACAAGTATTCAACTTTTGGCTTTTAATAATGCATTCAAATTTTAGCAGTATTTAGCTTTTGTATGCTGTTAATACACCAAAGCGCTGTAAAAGCCAAAAGTTATATACTTTAAAACTAATTAAAAATTGTAGCAATATATAATAGTGTAATAACTCTATTGTTGCATATTTTTTTTTTTTGCACTATTATTTTCAGCATTCCTTCTTACGATTATGCATTTTGGCAATATTATATAAAGATTTTAAGATGGATATATCGTATTGTCGTGAAATAATGTCACGTGCATTATTTTAAATATATGCACGATATTTGAAATACGTGCATGGGCAACAAAGATAATTTTTCTGAGCCTGGATTTTTAAATTATTATATACCTATATAGAGTGATATCTTATATAGAATGTACGTTATTTTAGAACATGCATAGGCGTTATTTTGAAATCATCTATACTATTCTCATTGTCTAAATAATACCCATATCTGTTATTTCGCAACAATATGATATATCGATACTAGAGCATTTAGACTTATACGATTTCATTGTTCAAACAACGAACAATTTCTGAAGTCGCATAAGTTTGAACACTCTAATCGATACAATTTATATATAAACACACTATATTACTAATTACTCTTAATATTAAAAACTTTATATTAGCATTTAAAAATATGACCAATCAGACATATGATCATACTAGTCCAAATAATAGTAAAGTTACAGCTTTACAAGATATTTCGAGTGCTTCCAAAGAAGAATATTCTGATCAAGTAGAATTATTGTCAACATATGAAAAAAAAAAAAAATATGCTGAGGGGAAAAAATATGATAAAGTATAGAATGATATTATTAAAGGTGATAATTTAGGGTAAGAATTTTATAATGCGAAGTGTAAGTAGTGTGCTACAAGTTGGTTAAGAGGACATCCACATAAAATGAAAGTTCATTTAGCTAGAAACTGTGATAATGCACCTGAAAACATAAAAATCAAATAGCGAGACTCTTTAGTAGAAGAAACTTCAAGACCAATAGCTTGAGCAAAAAGTTCAAAGCAATCAAATATTACTACACATTATCAACAGATTATACCTATTTCCGATACTAAAGCTAATAAACTTGATCAAGCAATTCTTAAAGCGTGGGTGTGTTGTGGATTTCCTTTTTGTATAATAGAAAATCTATTTATTATTGATCTTTTTAAACTCACTATTTCAGGATATACTTTACCATCACATACTACTCTTTCTGGCAGACTTTTGGATCAAGAAACTGCTAGGATTGAAAAAAAAATTGAAAATGAATTAGAAAAAGAGGAAAATCTTACACTTAGTAAGTTTTAATTTTAAAAACAATACCTAAATAGCGCTATATTTCGTATCATACTGTATAAAATATTTCCAAAAAAAATAGTATCCTCTTGATCAAGATTTGGGTATTATTCACCGCTTATCTTGAATAATACCTAAAGTATAACTATATTTAATTTATTATTTTCATATGATATATCCCCTATATATAGTATCTGGTTCCTCATACAGTACTCACAGGTACTATTCAATTTAAAAAATAGAGGTCTTGAATAAGACCCTGAGTACTATATACAGTGTGATTAGAGATAGGTTTTATGCGTGTGTATGATTGAGGAATCATATGCATTAATGCACATTCATACGCATAATACCGTTTCATGCACATTTTATCCATCAAAATTTCTCTTCTCTAGATCGTTTTTGCTTTTTTTTATCATGTGATATCATACACATAAAACAATTTGTGCGTATTAATATGTATTCATACGTATTTTATTATAAAATACACATTTTTCCCATCTCTAAGTGCAATATAATAAAATTTCTACATACTATATTAAAGAGTTACAGATTAACTTTCTGAATTCTATTTTTCTAAAATACTATTTTGCCAAAGCCATAATACTGGCAATCTATTTTATTAGTGAAGTACAATTTGATATTTATTGTGACTACTATTATTACAGCATATTTGTCAAATTAAGCCTAAATTTAAATATCAAA